GTGTGTGTGTGTGTGTGTGTGGGCATCCACGTATGTGTGAATGCGGTGAATGTGCATGCGCGTGTCTGCATGAAAATGCCTCGGAGTGTCTGGGTGTGTTTGAGTCTGCGTGTGATCCATCGTAAGGGGTGTTGTGCGTGTGCATAGGTGTGTGTGTAAGCCGCTGTGTGCACGTAGTTTCATGTCCGCTGTGGATGTAAACGTCCAGTGAGTGTGCGCGTGTCTCCGTGCCGTCTCCGGGTGTGTCTGAGTGTAACAAGTGTGTAAGTGCCCGGATGGGAGTGCACTTGGGGTGAATGTCGTTCTGTGGGACTCTGTGAGTTCGTCCCTTGTCTGGCGTGAGTGCGTGAACGAGTGTGTACGTGTAGGTGTGCGTAGGCCCGAGTGTGCGTTCGTCTCCGGGCTGTCTCGCGTGTGTGAATGAGCGTGTGCGTGAGTGTGCCCATAGGTCCGGGGAGCGTGTGGCTGCGTGTCTTGTGTGTTCGCCTCCGGGTGCGGGTTCCGAGGGCGCCGCTGTGTGTGGGGACGGGAGTCCTTTGTGGGTCCGCGGTGTCCGGTTGTTGGTCCCCGGCTGCGCAGGTGTGGCCACCCTCGAGTGTGCGCGTCGCTCGCCAGTGTGTGTGTGTTTGTGTCTGGGTGTGGGAGCGGCACCTCCCACTTCCCTTGCGTCGGTCACCGAGGCCACAGCCGTCTGTCTCCGAGCGCCTCCAGCCCCTCGGGCTCAGGGCCTTTAATTAGTGGCTGGGTGAGGGGCACCCGCCGGGGCGCCGGCCCCCTCCTCCCGCAGGCCGCGGGCGGGCCTTTGTCTGCTCTCCCGGCAGGGTCTGCCTCCCGCCCAGCCAGATGTGCAGCGCCCGGAGGAGGCCTCTGCCCGGGCGGCCTCGGCCTTGGCCCCCACGGAGCGGCCGGGTCTGCCCGGCGCGGCCCCCGGAGCTCTGGGTGCGGAGCGGCGGGTCCATCCCGCATCGCTGGGATGGGATGGGATGGAGCCTCCGCTGTCTCCCGGCCGCTTCCGCGCGGCCTTTCCTCCTCCGCCGCTGGCACCGGCCCGCGCTGGCCGCCTCCCTCCTGCCTTCTGGAAGGAGGGGCTGGGAGGAATGGCCAGGCCTGGGCACGCGCCCGTGTGCGTGCGCGCGCACACGGGTACACACACGGCCACACACGGGGTCACATGGGCACACACACCACCGCACACCAAGCCACATACGTACGTACGGTCCACTTACACGGTTACACACACACACACACACACACACACACACACACACAGTCATGCACACATCACAGTGTAGATCCCCCGCTGCTGCCCCCAGCCAGGCACGGGCCCTGGAACGCCCTAACCTCTGGGGCACCTGCGTCATTCTCTCCCCCAGACCCACTGACCTGTTCCTGACACCCCCAGTGCCCCGGGCAGGTCACACCTCCCTACACCACCCTGCGGGCTGGGCCACTGGCCCGGATGCTCTGCGCTGCCCTGCCCTGCCCTGCCCTGCCCTGCCCTGCCCTGGCAGACGCCTGTGAGCCCTCCCCGTCAGACCCCGCCCCTCCACACCCCCCATCCTCACCCATGGGTCCTTCCACACCGTCCCCCATGCCCCAGCAGAGCCAGAAGCGTGAGGGAGGCTGTGAGGCCTTTGGGAGGAGGGGCCCAGCCCCAGAGGACAGCGGTGAGGACTTCAGAGATGGGCAGCAGGAGAGACTCAAAGGCACTGCAGCCAAGACCAGAGCCACAGAGCCGCTGCGGGAGAAGATTCCACAGCAGGCGTGGCGGTGCAGGAAAGGAGGAGAGGGACAGGATTGGGGGAAGGGGCTTCCAGCCTCACTTGCAATCGAAACACTGCCACCTTGGCATGATGCGGGTGGGGCGGTGGGGGGGTTAAGACAGGAGGAGGTCAGGGCAACTCGACCCAGGAAGGGATTTAATCGGAGCTGGTTAGGGTCTCCAGGATGGACTAGGGGACAGAAAGCTAGAGGAGGTAGGGACAGGGGGAGGAGGGAGCTTTGGTGGGGGACCAGGACCTGAAGGATGATCACATCCTCCCAGGGGAGGTTCACCAGGGTCAGGGAGAAGGGCAGAGTGTTCTCGGCCCTCCCTGAACTTCCCACCGAGCCCCGCGGCCCCCCCCCTCACTGCCCCCTCCCTGTCCAGGCACCGAAGAAGAGGCACTGAGGCCCAGAGAGGCTCACGCACAGGTGTCTGATACCACGCCATCAACCGAAGCCCCCAAAAGGTAAAAACAAACAAACGAACAAGGGGTAATCACCTGCCCAGCCGAAGGGAGCAGGAGGGTCCCAGAGTATCTTGGCGTGAACTCCCCATTGCTGGAGGGGTACAAGCAAAAGTGGGTAATGTCACCTTCTAAGTCTGCATCTTGTTGATAAACCTGGCTCCCTCCCTCGCGTGCTGAACTGCCCTGTTTGGGGACCGACTCTCAGACTTGGCCAGGCTGCAAAGAAAACAAGACAGTGTGTGATTAAGGGGGAAACTGCAGAGAGGAGGAGGAGGAGGGTGGAGGCAGGAGTGGGGAGGAGGGTTTGGCACAGGGTAGTGGCCCCTGGTGGTGTCTGTGTGCAGCAAGCTGGCCCGGGGCCGATGCCAGAGAAACTGAGACCTGCCGGGCAGGCCTAGAGCTTCCAGAAAGAAGAATCTGAAAGGCTAAGGAGCAGAACCAGGGGCCAGGCTGGAAATACAGGGTTAGAAGAGAGGTCACAGGAACAGAGGCCACCTGTAGCAGTACCCAGCCCTGCTGGTGGGGTGGAAAGTGCTACCCATGGCAGGGGATCTAATGGTAGGGCTGAGGTCGGACAGGATTAGTAGGGGGAGTCAAGCACTGGCCTCCGCTTTAG